AGGGCGAGGGAATCCCGGGCTCAGGCGCTCAGCATCGGGCGAGGAAATACAGAGCGCGGGGAAAGTGCGTGTGAAAGCGTGGGAGAAATGGGTGAGAAATGGGCGAGTGCTGCCAGGAGGATTCACTTCCTTAAGGGAGGCAAGGGGTTGGGCGGGAGTTGCATCACTGACTTGCCATGACATCTCTCTTGTGTGTGTTTGTGTATGTATATATATATATATATATATATATATATATATATATATATATATATATATATATATATATATATAAATATATATATATATATAAATATATATATATATATATATAAATATATATATATATATATATATATAAATATATATATATATATATATAAATATATATATATATATAAATATATATATATATATAAATATATATATATATATATATATATATATATATATATATATATATATATATATATATATATATATATATATACGTGTGCATATGTAAGTAGTTGGATAGATAGATAGATAGGGAGACAGATATATGTGTGAATATAAATGAATATATATATATATATGTGTGTGTGTGTGTGTGATACATATATATATATATATATATATATATATATATATATATATATATATATATATATATATATACATATATATATATATATATATATATATATATACATATATATATATATATATATATATATATATATATATATATATATATATATATATACATATATATACATATATATACATATATATACATATATATATATATATATATATATATATATATATATATATATATATATATACATATATATATATATATATATATATATATATATATATATACATATATATATATATATATATATATATATATATATATATATATATATATATATATATACATATATATACATATATATACATATATATACATATATATATATATATATATATATATATATATATATATATATATATATATATATATATGTGTGTGTGTGTGTGTGTATCACACACACACACACACACACACACACACACACACACACACACACACACACACACACACACACACACACACACATACACACACACATATATATATGTATATACATACATATGTATACACACACACATATAAATATATATGTGTGTGTGTGTATATTTGTATATATATGTATATTTATATATATGTGTGCGTATGTGTGTTTGTGCATATATGCATATATATATATATACATATATATATACATATGTATACATATGTATATATGTATATATAAATGCAGAAATGTGTATATATATACATATGTGTATACATATGTATATGTACATATATATTATATATGTATATGTATGTATACATATATATGTATACATATATGTATACATATATATGATAGATATCTACATATATAATATATATGTATATACATATGTATATATGTATATGTATGTATGTGTATACATGCATATATATGTATACACATATATAGAAATAAATATGCTTATATATGTATATATATGTAAATACATACACACACACGCACACACACACACACATATGTGTGTGTGTGTGTGTGTGTGTGTGTGTGTGTGTGTGTGTGTGTGTGTGTGTGTGTGTGTGTGTGTGTGTGTGTGTGTGGACTGATTGATTGATTGATTGATGATTGATAGATAGGTAGATAAGCAGACAGAAAAGAAGATAAATAGTCCCTATCTCTGTTTCTCCTTTTCATGTTCCTTTCCTTCGTCCCACATCCACTCACAGCTTTCGTCGCCTCCCCCCCCCCCCCCCCCCCGCCGTGCCACTTTCCCCCGCGTGGGTTTGTGGCCATAGTTCCAACCAGCCCTAGAGGGGAGACAACCACACGAAAAGTCTGGTCGAGGCAAGACAAGACCACTTTTCTCGTTTATAAGGGCAAGGTCACGGTTAGGAAAGGGGGGGGGGGGAGCGAACCTCACTAGGCTTATAAATTTGATAGGATCTGTAAGGGAGGATGGGTGGGGTTTCGTGGCGAAGGGAATGGTGGGAGAGCGAGTGCGGAAGAGAAATGAGGGAGAAAGAGTAGGCGAAAGGAAAGGAAGGGAGAGGAAGTGGGGGAGAGAAAGGTACGGAGAAAGAGTGAGATGGAGAAAGGGTGAAGGAAGAGTAGGCCAGGGAAAGGGAGGGAGAGAGAACAGGACAGAAAAAGATAGGGAGAGAGAATGTAACGAATGGTGAGAGAGAAAGAGTACGCCGGGGAAAGGGGGGAAGAAAGGTGGGGAGAAAGGGTGAGATAGAAAAAAGGTAAAGAGAAGAAACAGGACGGAGAGAGATAGAGAAAAAGGGTAAGATAAAGCAGGGTAGGGAGAACCAAAGAAGAAAGAGTAGACCAGGGAAAGGAAGGGAGGGAAAAAACAGGACAGAGAAAGATAAGAAGAAAGGATAAGACAGAGAAAGGTAGAGAGAAAGAGTTGGAGAGAGAACGACGGAGAAAGGAAAGTACAGGAATGGTAGGGAGAAGGAATGGGACGGAGAAAGGTAGAGAGGAATAGTGAGACA